GACCATTGATAACCATTGATCGGCTTTGACTGCACTTCACACTTGCAGAAGTATACCACCACATGAAGAGAGGGGTGGAAGAAAGGTATCGAAGAAAGGTATTGAATGGGTGCTCTCCTGCAAGTCCCAGGAGAACATTTCAGACTGGGATTGACCGAAACCTGGGAGCAGGAAAGTATTGGCCACACCTGCATCAGAATGATACAGGACAGAACCGGTCATTCGACCCACCAAATCTTCGTCTGTGTTTCTCTCTACATAAGCTGCCTCCACTAATCCTACTCTCCTGCTCCCTCCACATGCTCTTTGATAGTTTTCACAATTCTTCCTTTTCAAGAATGTGTGGCAGGCTTGAAGCAATAATAAATAATATTACATTTGGTATAGCACATTCCACATCAGAAGGGCGTCTCAAAGTGCTCCACAGGATATACTTTAAGGCGAGGTCTCCCCTACTTTACAGTATAAAGCAAGGAAGAGGTTGGGCATTTTTCTTAAAGCATGATTTCTTCACAATGATGTAAAATCATTACTTAATTTCATTTTTTTTCAAAGGAAAACTATCCAGAATCTTGCCAGGTCACCTTATTTGGAGTTGCCTTTTCTTGCAAATTGTGGCTCCTCCAATTATAGCTTTAGGTATCAGCTTGGCTCAGTTGGTAGGACTGTATTCTGGCTGTTGGGCAGATCATTAAAATGAGTTCAACTTTCCAAGTTGGCACTTGAGCTCATTAATAAATGGGTCATCATATCATGGCTGTTTGTGGGATGTTGCTATGTGTGAAATGTCTACATATACTGCATACACTTATTTCACTTGATAGCACGTCCCTGCCAAGTGCTTTGACTAGTTTTTACGTTACAAAATACAGTCAATTCACTTCACAGTATATTCTGTGAAGCCCTTTATTGAGACATCTCAAAGACGTAATAAGGTGTTACATCAAACACAACAACAACAACAAAATTACATTTGTATAGCGAGGATTATATTACTATTAAAGTCACTCTTATCAGTGACAAGGTTTAAAATATTATCATGTATTAGTAAGTGAAACATTTCTTTGAATAACTTTCCTAAATTCAGAGGGGACTGAGCAATGGTTCAGAATAGCTTGCATGAAATATTTCGTGTATTTGAATTATTTTTCAATTGGACTAAATAACTATGCGGTTCTATCATTCCTTTGTTGTCTTTTTGATTATGCACAAGAGTGCCACCTAAAGGCAATCGAGCAGTTAGAGACCCCTGCTGTAAAGTGTAGTGATTGTGTGGTTTGTGGATGAACGCAGCAGCCAATTTGCATACAGTAATATCCCACAAGCAGTCATGAAGTGATTAGTCAATTTTATTTGGGGGATTGTTGGCAAGGAAACGCCTTTCTCATTTTGAATAGTGCCATGGGATCTTTAATGTCCACTTTAACAGGCAGGCGGGTAAGGACGAAAAGTATCTCATCCCTAGAAAACAATTTTTTAAAAATCTTTGCCACGTGGAAAAATTTAATCCTGTATAACCCGGAGGCAGGGCTGCCTGGCAATGGATAGCATTCCACAGTGAGAGGAAAAAACCCAAATTAACACTGAAACAGAGCACTTTGATGTGGTGGCCAATGTTTGCACAGTTCCATGTATTCTTGCAGCACCTTCTCTTTAACTTCTCTACTTTGTTGCGATTATAAAGCAATGACGTTGCTTTTGATTTACTAAAGTAGTGAACTTTTTCTCAGTGTCCAATTCTTGCATTGATGATCACTCAGACATTCCTGTCAGTAGTGCTACATAAATCCAAATTGTTGTTGTTGGTTGAAGATCTTGGACTCCAAGTTACAGTAAACTTCTGATAACTTGTCACTCAAGGGAAAAAGGCTCAGTGGTGAGTTATCTGGAGTGGCGAGTTAGGCATATGTATAAATACATAAATAAATGTGGCCGGGATATTGACAGCATGATGACTTAAATGGCAGTTACAAGTTAAGTCAGGGTCGAGTTATCAAAAGTTTACTGTATATCATCAAAAGTTTTTAAACTGTTTTAAAAAATGCCCTTTTTTTCATTCTCCAATATCAAGTGTTGTCGAGCTTCGAGCTTCGGCAAAGTGACAGAGGTTTTATCTCACCATGAATTTGGATGTTGTGCATTGCGTTGTATCCTAGGTTTGCCCTTTTAGGCTCACGGCAGTTTCTCTATAGCAATTTAACTTGCATCATGCCTTTGACAATGGGGTTTCACAAAGACAATGAAGATCATAGAGCAAGGGAGAATTTAAGCAGGTTGAGCAAAAGCACAGCCAAAGACACTGGGGAATAATAATAATAATAATAATCCCTGCATTTGATATAGCGCCTTATCATGTCTTCGAGACGTCTCAAAGCTCCTCACAGAATATACTGTAAAGTGATTTGACTGCGTATTTTGCCAATTGCGCACAGCAGTGTCCCACAAACAATCGTGGATTGAAGTGGCCAATTTATTATTTATTTATTTTATTTTTTTGGAAGGAATTATTATCCCCGGAAAAGTGATCTGCCAATCGACTAACAACTGCGCTCCTACTTACTGCTAGGTATACAGAGGTGTGTGGAGTAAAGAAGCTTAGCCAACATTTCGCCCTGCCGGGAAGGAACCAGGTCTCAGGGCTTATGAGGCTAGTGCTCTAAACACTGAGCTCCAGAGAATGGAAGTAAAGAGTGAAAGTGGGAATAAGGTGGAGAGTAGAGGGGTTGAGAGTAGAGGTAGAAGAACTACAAGTAAAGGGATCTTTCTGCCAAATATTTTGACTTTACATCAACAAAGAAAAGAGCCAGAGGGCAATGGTCAGCCCTCCCCTCTTCTCAAACATCCTTCCCAGAGATAGCTATTGAGTTGAAAAAATGCAACTTGATTTTTTTTGAACAGTGTTACCCTCCCTGAAATATTGACCCGAAGAACCTACTGAACAGAATCCAGAAACTCTGATTCCAGAAATAGTTTAACTGCATACTATTTAATCTTACTAAATGGGCGGAGGGGGGATGGCGAGGCATTTTTCTTAAAGCAGGATTTTTTCACAATGATGTAAAATCAGTCCTGAATTTTATTTTTTTTCAAAGGAAAACTATCCAGAATCTTGGATGATCAACTAGGTCACCTCGTTTGGAGTTGCTTTTTCTTGTGGCTCCTCCAATTATAGCTTTCAGGTATCAACTTGGTTTGGTTGTTAGTACTGTATTCTGTCTGTGGGGCAGAGCACAAAAATGAATTCAAGATTCAAGTGAGCACTTGAGCTCATAAATAAATGGGTCCTTACATCATGGCTGTTTGTGGTACGTTGGTGTGTGCGGAATGCCCACATTTACTGCATACACTTATTTCACTTGATAGTTCTTCCCTACCAAGTGCTTGTTACAAAATTTACAGTCAATCCACTGCCCCTTGATACGTCTCAAAGACATGATAAGGCGCTTTATCAATCACAATGATTATTATTATTACTATTACAGCCACTCTTATCAGTTGCGAGGATTAAAATATTATCACGTATTAATAAGTGAAACATTTCTTGGAATAACTTTCCCGAATTCAGAGAGCACTGAGCAATGATTCAGAATGGCTTGCTCCACCCCAGACCTGCTGTCACTTGTACTATACAGCGGCTAGCGTTTCTGCAAACACTCTGAATCATAGAATTATACAATACAAAAGGAGGCCATTCAGCCCATCATGTCTGTGCCAGCTCTTTGAAAAAAACTAGCCAAATCAATCCCATTCCCCCGATCTCTCCCCATAGCCCCGCAAAGTTGTCCTCCCCAAATAATTATCTACTTCTTTCTTAAAAGCTGTTATGGAATCAGCTTCCACCGCCCTTTCAGGCAACGATTTCCACATCCAAACAACTCGCTGTGTGAAAAAAAAATTCTCCTCACCTCTGGTGCAGATCTGAGCCAGTTCAAGAACACTTTTCTCTCTTGACTTCCCAAAATGGAAATGAAAATCTGCTGCCTGAACATGGCTGCTGATCAGCATCTTTTTAACCAGATCATCACCGTGAGGGTTGGGTTTTATGACATTTATCTCACTAAACGCGAATCCCAGTTACAAACTTAAAAAACAATCTGTTTTGTAACGGTGGCTGTTTTGTTTTGTTTTTTGTGCAAATTTTAAGGAGCTTTTTTAAATTGCTTTTTTTTTCGCTTAAAAAAAATGAAAGCCTCTGCATAACTTGACAAACACAAAGTCGAAAGATCTGTCAGAAGTTTTGAGGTGGCGGTGGTATTAAGTTTATAGGGAGCAGAGAGCCAGGATGAGGGGCAAAACTGTACACAGAGCCCAGTGTCGCCCACAGGACAATGTCAGCCTCAGCTCATCCAAAGGTCCACAGCTTCCAAACCACAAACTCTTGCCACTTGTCATCCCAATGTATTATCTGGTGGGAGGATTTTGAATTGGAGAGCCATTTAGTTTAAATCTTGGCTGGTGACAGATTGTAAGGAAAGCACTGACTGACTGTACTGACTGACTCCTGTGCGCCTGGAGTGAGCCAAACTGGGAGTCTTGCGTCGGCACAAAAAAGGGCTCTGTGGGAAGGGTTCAGGCAATTCATTCATTCATTCCTTCATGGTATTTGATCGATTCGATCCATCTGAGCCCATTTTTTTTTAACGCACAGCGATAAAACTTACTAACAGTTCCCCCACCTGTGCACGCAAACCCAGACAAGGTTTGGCGACAGGATCAGACAGTCATTTACCAAAAACAATAATAAATTGGTCGTTTTCAATCCGCGACTGTGTGTGGGACGTTCACTGCTGTGCGCAATTGGGCTGCCGTGCGTTCGCCCACAAATATACAGTCAATTCACTTTACAGTGTGTTCTGTGAAGCGCTTTGGGACGTCCTCCCGACGTGAAAAGCGCTATATCAAATGCAAAGGATTATTATTATTATCCAGGAGAGTGGGGGTGGAGGGGGGGGGGGGGGGTTGCTTTGCGCTGCTGCTGCTGCGCCCACAGACGCCTTTACCTGGGCAGGTCCGGGTGTAATCGTAGCAGCAGTCTCCGGTGCTCTGGCAAGCTTCGTCGCAGTAGCAGGTCCCGTAGACCCGGTCCGCTCTCCAGCCCGGGCCACCGCATCCGTGGTCTCTGCCTTTGCAGCATTTGCCGGACTCCGAGCACCCGCCGTCCGTGAGCTCCGACAGCCACAGCAGCCCGGCCAGGAGCAGCCACTGCCCCGCGTCCCCCATCGGGACCACAGGACCACAAGCTCCAGCCGACTTGGGAGGACGTCCAGGGATGCGAAATGACTTTGTCTGTCTGTCTGTCTGTCTGTCTGTCTGTCTGTCTGTCTGTCTGTCTGTCTGTCTGTCTGTCTGTCTGTCTGTCTGTCTGTCTGTCTGTCTGTCTGTCTGTCTGTCTGTCTGTCTGTCTGTCTGTCTGTCTGTCTGTCTGTCTGTCTGTCTGTCTGTCTGTCTGTCTGTCTGTCTGTCTGTCTGTCTGTCTGTCTGTCTGTCTGTCTGTCTGTCTGTCTGTCTGTCTGTCTGTCTGTCTGTCTGTCTGTCTGTCTGTCTGTCTGTCTGTCTGTCTGTCTGTCTGTCTGTCTGTCTGTCTGTCTGTCTGTCTGTCTGTCTGTCTGTCTGTCTGTCTGTCTGTCTGTCTGTCTGTCTGTCTGTCTGTCTGTCTCACTGCCTCCCACAGAGAGAGAGGGAGAGAGAGGGAGAGTTAAGGGGGTCCGTGGGGCAAGTCGCTCAGATCTTCTTCTTAAACAGCCCGGGTTTCGAAGCTCAGCCTTAAAGCAAAACACTTTCAAAGGCTGATCTTCCTTTAAGAGGGTGAGAGAGAGAGAGAGAGAGGGAGGGAGGGAGAGAGGGGGGGGAGAGATAGAGAGAGGGGGGGAGAGAGAGAGAGGGAGGGAGAGAGAGGGGGGGAGAGATAGAAGAGAGAGGGAGAGAGAGAGGGGGAGAGAGAGAGTGGGAGGGAGGGGGATGGAGAGAGAGAGGAGGGGGAGAGAGAGAGGGGGTAGAGAGAGAGGGGGTAGAGAGAGAGAGGGTGTGGGGGTACAAACGTGTGCGATCCTCTTCGCGAAGGACAGGTTAAAGGGAGTCTCAACAACGTCGATCCCTATTCCGCAGAGATTAAATCCGACTCTGTGGGTACGAGAAGAGCTCACGATCCTCCCTGTTTCAGAGGGGGAGCAATGCACCGGTTGGGAGTTGGACGCTCCGGAGCCGTGGGTTGAGCTGAAAGGGCTGAGATCGTTGAGTGATGATTTGCTGGGACTTGTTTTCCAAAGGCAGTGTTGCAAGTGGTGAAAGTGTTCCCTCTCTCTCCCTCTCTCCCTCTCTCTCTCTCACTCTCGCCCTAAGTGACTCAGAATGGCCAACCCGAGCTGCCTTTAAGGCCATTCATTCTATCACAGCCCAGAGGAATGCAAACACTTGGCTTCACTCCACTTACAGTTGTTTTGGAGATGTGTGCAACTTTCTGGCACATCAAACAGTTCCCCCCCCATAGATATTTAAAGACACCAAACAAGTGTCTCACTTTGCTCTTTCACTTTCCTCTCGTCCCACACATCAAAATGCTGCATTTGAAATGCCAATGGGATGGTTGTGTGCAAAACGCACCTGTGTTTGCTTAACGTTTATTGTTCATGTTTTTTTTGCCCCCTTCCAGGACAGGAAAGAGGAGACAGTGATGCACACGCATAACGTGGGTTTAGAAATGCTTAAAACAATGAGCTTTAACCAGATCTTGGGTTTGATCTATCAGCTGAAGCCATTGGAAGTCAGAATAAAAAAATAGCTGTAGAAGGATGGATGCAAAACCAAAACACTCTCAGGTAACCATAGTTGTGCTGCAGTAAGTGTTACAATTAAATGATGTGCCTCTCTAATCTGAATTTTACATGAGACACACAGGTGGCAATGGGACATCATCATCAACAACAACAACAACAACAGGATTCCATTTATAGAGCGCCTTTCACATCTAAGAACTGGTTCAGTAAAGAGGTCGTTGATTGCTGAATTTCCATGATATTTTCGCTAGATCTGGTTCCCTCCTCCCAAAAATAATACATGCACAGGAGGTGCCAAGCGTGGTAAGTTGGGAAGGACAAAACGAATCCCGTCTGGATCACTTGGAAGAACTCTTGGGAAGGGTAGCGCAAGGTGCATCAGTTAAGAAGAAAATCAATCCACGCATTTGCTGCAGTGAAGTGCCTTGTCATTAAAAATGATTTAAAACATTCACGTGTTTTAAAACGCTTCACAGGGAAGTGCGGTGACTGCATATTATAGGCAAATGTAGCAGCCCATTTGCACGCAGCAATGTCGCACAAACAGCCATGAAATGGATGATAAGGTTTTCATCATTGACCAGAACACCAGGAAAAACTCCCTTCTCATTTCCAATAGTGCCATGGGATCTTTAACGTCTAGTAATGGTGTTCCAGATAACGGTGGCAGAATGGCTGAAGGCTCACCCATCAATGGTGGGGCGGATTTGGCAGGCGACACAAAGCAGGCCACTGTTTGTTGAGAACAGGGAGCAGGCATGGTGGTAGAGTTTCAGGAAGTCACAGAGGTAGGGTAAGACAAGGCCTTGACAGGATTTGAAAGCAAGATCAAGGATTTTGAATTTGATTCACTGGAAGATGGTGAGGCAGGAGAGCAGAGTGAAAACTGGTGATAATTTGAGGTATCTGGTGTGGTATAGGACTCGAGCTGTAGAGTTCTGGATGGTCTGCGTAGTGCTATATCAAATGCAAGGATTATTATTATATTATTATATTATCCCTCGTGTAGGGAGTACCTTGGGGAGTCCAGTGAGTAAGGCATTCAAATAGTCAATCCTGCATGTCATGAAAGCGTGATTCAGGGCAAAATTCCAAATCAAACTTTTCCTGCACATGTTTTTTTAAAAAAATGCCATTTAATTCTTTCTTGCTGAAGAAAATTCTCTATAGTAAGGGTGATACACCTTACCTTCTTCTCATAGTAGACATTATGTGATTTTATTGCATTTTCAACATAAGATAAAGTGTGCTGTGTTAAACTGTTATCAGCAAACAGATAAGCTCTTTCTGCTGGATCTTTTTGGTATTGCAGCTCGGAATAATGGTCAAGGGCAGTAAAGTACAACAAGAATAAATTACAAAATGCAAAGTACGGCAGATGCTGGAAATCTGAAACAAAAACAAAAGTCAATGGGAACACTCAGCAGGTCAGGCAGCATCTATGGAGAAAGGAAAGTGAGTCAATGTTTTAGGTCCACGACCCTTCATCAGAATTGGAGCATGTTGGGAGGGAGAGGCTTTTAATAATAATATAATAATAATCCTTGCATTTGATATAGCACTTTTCACATCCTCCAGATGTCTCAAAGCGCTTCATAGAATAGACTGTAAAGTGAATTGACTGTATATTTGTGGGCGAAATGCGGCAACCAATTGCGCACAGCAGTGTCCCACAAACAGTTGTGGATTGAAATGACCAATTTATTATTTTTTTGAGAGATTATTATCCCTCAAAAATAGACAGACTGATAAAATGGGCAGACACGTGGCAGATGAAATTTAATGTGGAGAAATGCAAAGTGATGCACTTTGGGAGCAGGAATAAAGAGAGGCAATATAAGCTGATGATACTATCTTAAAGGGGGTGAAGGAACAGAGAGACCCTGGGGTTCATATAAGTAAATTTTTGAAGGTGGCAGGACAAGTAGATAAAGCTGTTAAAAAAGCAAATGGCATACTAGGCTTTATAAATAGGGGCATAGAATACAAGTGAGGAAGTTATGATGAGCCTTTATAAAACACTGGTTAGGCCTCAGGTAGAGACTGTGTTCAGTTCTGGGCACCACACTTTAGGAAGAGGACTAACAGAGAGGGGGAGGCAGGTCAAGGAAGACAAAGAAGAAAATGTGGTAGAGGACAGGGTATGATGGTATAAAGGTGTTAATGATGCAAAACAAAAGGGGGGATTTCAACAAAACAGGGGAAAATAGGTATTAATGATGCAAAACAAAGTGTGCGTGTGTGGGGGGGGGGTTAAATTGCAATAAAAAAGACAGACCAGAGAAAGAAAAGCTGTGTCTGCATCATTGGGTTAGTAGAGTCGGGTTCGTACAGTTGAAATCGGCTTATTGGCAATCAATTTGTCTGGAACTGCTGGCCAGGACAATCTCCTTTGTCTTTTCAAATAATGTCAAGAGTTGTTTAAAGTTCACCTGAAGAACGGTAGTCAGAATCTTGGTTCAGTGCCTTATCCAAAGCACACCACTTCCAATATTGCAGCAGTTCCCCCAGTAGAGCACTGGAGCATCAGTCTGGAATATGAGACTCATGCACTGAGGTGGAGCCTGAGCCCACAATGGTCTCATTCAGAAGCAAGAGTCCTAACAACTAAGCTTTAGATGAATGATCATATTAATTAATCAGTTAACTAAATTGAATGACTTTTTTTTCTATGTGTTTCATTGATGTATCCGATTCCATGACTTCAAATGCTGACTTCAAAAAAGAATAAAAGTACGGGAAGGGGAGAAGCTTTGTTTGTCCATCAAAACTCATCCCTTTTGTACATTAACTTGCCTGGAATTACAATCACCACACTTTACAGAAACCTCTGTCAACTACCGTGAGACACTTCAATTTGACAAGCTACTATAATAAATGTAACGATTATAACTTTAATTATAACTCTCCCATCACAGCATGGGACAGTATATTGAATATACCCAAAGTCTGTTCCTCTGTTATCTTGCTTGGTATATTATTTCAACCATTTATCACTTTGTGAGTAATGAAGTTTTTCCTGATATATGTCTGACTAATTTCCATTAATCTCTTCTGGGTCTATTTTGCGTCTTAATTTGAAATAATAGTTTGGGGCTACCCCTTCTTTGCCAATAAATCTTGTGGAGTCCTGTAGCTCAGTGGTTAGAGCACTCGCTTTGCAAGCGAGAGACCTGAGTTCAATTCCAGGCAGGGCGAAACCTTGGGCAAGTTTCCTTACTCCACACGCCTAATAATAATCCCTCCAAAAAACAAAACAATAATAAATTGGTCATTTTCAATCTACGACTGTTTGTGGGACATTGCTGTGTGCAATTGGCTGCCGCGTTCGCCCACAAATATACAGTCAATTCACTTTACAGTGTGTTCTGTGAAGCGCTTTGGGAAGTCCTCCCGACGTGAAAAGCGCTATATCAAATGCAAGGATTATTATTATTATACTGTATTTCAATGAGACCATTGCTTAACTGCCTTCTTTGTAATTGT